TAATAATAGAGGTGTCTCAGGAGGATCAGAAAAAAAATCATAGACAAGCATATTAAAGGTGAAGGTTATGACCATCTCCAAGCAGCTTGATGTTCCTGTGACTACAGCTGCACATATTATTCAGAAATCTAAGATCCATGTGACTGTAGCCAACCTCCCCGGATGTGACTGCAGGAGGAAAATTGATGACAAATCAAAGAGACGGATAATACAAATAGTAACAAAAGAGCCGAGAAAACCTCTAAAGAGATCAAAGGTAAACTTCAAGCTCAAGGAACTTCAGTGTCAGATCATACCATCTATCGTCATTTTAGCCAAAGTGGACTTAATGTGAGACGACCAAGGAGGACATTTACATTTATTATTACTTTTATCAAATTCAAGTTATTTCTTTTCCACTCTGGGTTTTTCTTTCATTAAACGAGGGGTACCAACAATTTTGTCCACGTGTGTATATGGTGTAGTGTAGTTATATCGTATGCTAATTTCATTCCAAATCTCAGGGAAYATGAGCAGACTCCATGCATGAATTGTGGCAGAGTTAAAAAGTTTGTCTGTCTGTTTCCTTGACAGATGATTTGCATAACTCTCCACTCTATTTTAATGAAATTTGACTGAGACATACTGTTCAGAGTCTGACCTCACTGCAGGCTGGGTTTATTTATTTATTTATTTATATAGAACAGCCTCTCTATAGTACTGTCCTGTCTGATGGATTATATGAAGTATATTTGCTAATGCGGTCATGATCGTTTGAGACAGTTTTAACAACAGGATTATTCAACAACACGCTTCTTATGACGATAACAAACCAGACATAAAACTAACCTTATAAGTTGGGTATTTGTGTGTCTTTTAGTTTGTTATTCTACTTTCCACAATTTAGCATTTTGCAGTTAATATAAAATTTTTGTTTCTGGTTTTGTGGCTTATGAAGTTCTGTTTTCTTACATTTATTACTTTTGTAATTTTAGCTCTGTAAAATTGAGTTATAGCCATTTGTGTTAGCTAGAGTCTGTGGCAGATACCTTTAGTCAGGTTGATTTCAGAAATTAAACAAATGTAGAGGTTACCTCCTGAAATTCTCATTAAAATCCATCCAGTGGCTCATGAGATGATTTGCTAACAGTCAGAGAAACAAGCAAACAAGCACTTATGAAATCAAGCAATTATATGATCACTTGTCGTTCATGGTGGGTGATGTTAAACAGCTTGTTAGACTTGTGACTTGAGCAAACAGAATCCAGACTTAACTAGATCTCAGTGACACTCTGATGTTCTTACAGAGGTACTAGTGCATTTCCTGCAGCRGTATTAAATGTTTTCTGTGATGGTTTTGTTCTGTAGTCGCAGTATTGTAAGTGGGTATTGTGTTGCRTGAATCTGAAATACAATAAAACGTTGCAAAGATGTGACAATGACTGACTGAGAGTAAAGATTTGTAAACACCACTTTTACAAACTGGATAAATCCTCGTTGACAGAATGTATAAACTACCTGAAAGCAAATGATTCCCAGTAAACAGTCAGATCAGGTTTAATTTAATGCCTTTGTAGGCACGGGGAGAGCTTAGCCTTCCTAYAATGCACCTGAACAGCTTTACCTTTAACCTGAGGGAAACAACTCTGTCTTTCAGGTCCAACCGTGACATTGTTGAAGACATACGACGAGGGGAGGGAAAGATTTACGGAGCCGAGCTTCTCAAAGACCTGCTGAAGCTCCTGCCTGATTCGGAGGAGGTTTGTTTGTTTATCCAGCTGGTCRCGTTGTACRAAAGCATGAATAGCGAAACGATCGTTGAAAGACAGTTTATGTCCTGCGCTTCCTCCTTTTTTATTTCCACTGCAGATCAAGAAGCTGCAAGTGTTTAAAGGAGATCCAGACAAGCTGACACTGGTCGACTCCTTTATGTACCTCCTAATCCAGGTTCCACGGTAAGTTGGCTTCAATGACGACGCAACACAGTTTCCATCAAAGAGGAGTCTGAAGTCAGCAGTTTGACAGTGTGAGGATAATAAAGGGTTTACGTTCAAATGTTGTGCAAAATTGCATAATTTTGTGGGGAATTTCCAATGAGCAGGCAATTCTTTGTAATGCATGCATTAACCCTATTTTTACATTTGGTGTGAAACTCGGTCAATTATTTAAACACATATTTTATCCAACAGCWTACGAAATAAAGTTCAGCAGATGCTATAAGCACAAAGGAGGAAAAATGAAGTTTGAGTCCACTGAATTGAAAATCGTATACATTCAATATTGCTATGAAGCATGTTTAAATTAATATCTAGCAAGCTAAATGTGTGGAGCTATTCATACAAATCAGCTTAAAATAAATAAAACAAGCTGTCCCTTCTCTTTCCCTATTGATAATAACTATAATGTTTGACCTGAACTTAAATGTTAAACTGAAAATTCAGATCCAAGACCAAAGTGGATCGCTGCCACCTTTAAACAATCAAATCTCAAAGGTTTCTTAGCAGTTTATGCAAACATTGTTTTATAAACCTTTGCACTGCAGTCAGTTTCACATTAGGTGGATATTCTGACATAAATAGTATTATATTCCTTTAGGCTGCAACAAAAAGGCCACAGCCACTCACTTACTGTCCAGATTCTAAATAGACAGACTGACCAATGCGGGCTCAGCTACTCTTCATCTATCCCTTATCTCATCAATCTGATAGTTTGAGGTCAGTCAAAGAAACATCTAAACCAAGTAAGATAGTAATTATTCGTAAACCCTCCACAGAACCTATTCAGAAGATCTGAACTATCACYTTAAATCAAACCACCTCTGATCCGTCTGACAGGTTCGAGGTTCGGATCGAGGCCATGGTCCTCCGTGAMGAGTTCTTGCCTTTTTGTGCTGCGATGAGCCACGAGATCGACATAATCCGCGCCGCTACTAAAGGTAACTGGTTCTGCTGTGTTCATACAGAAATCTGACAACCAAAAACAGGAACTTGTTACACGAGTTGATGTCACGTGGAGACCAGGGTGAAAAAATAAGTCACATTTTAGGTTATTTTTCTCTTAGAATCTAAAGGAAATTGTGATTTAACAACAAACTGATTATTTGCTTTTTTCTCTCAGCAAGGTGTCAGTCTTAATGTTATAAAAATTGTTTTATTTAACTTCTGATTAAATCAGGTTTTCTGTGTGCTGATGGTGTCTAAAATAATGTGTAATGAAATTGCTGTGGTCATTATTTGTGTTGATATTTATCTCTTCCTGTAGAGCTGATGAGCTGTGAGGAGCTTCACGCCATCCTTCATCTGGTGCTGCAAGCAGGAAACATCATGAATGCTGTAAGGCTCCACCATCAAMTAAAAACATCCCTAAATCTGTGTCCCTAAATATTAGATTTGATCTAATAAATATTGCATTGGGGTCTTTTAGTGGTTCCTAGAATTTCTAGAACTAGAACAGAAGGTAGAGTTACTTTTCAGGSCCCTGGTCTGGTGAAGATTCTCACTCATCCAGAACTTAATAAATCAAAAATAAAAAAATAAATAAAAAAATAAAAAGATAGAAAGAACTCCTGGATTTTTGTATGAGCTCCTTCCAGTCAAATTTGTGTATCTTCATCTACAGAATATGAGTCCAGTTAGTTTGTTTTTTAAATGGTTTATTCAGTTTTAGTCCWAGTCGTGCCTAATGCCTGCTGCCTGCTGCCTGTTTTGTTGAGCACTTTGAAAAGTACTACACAAATACAACTGAGTGGAGTTATTTTGTATTTTATAAAAGCAAATATTTTCTAGCTTCTTTAACTCTGTCTTGAATGGACTGTCTTAAMTCTTTAACGCTTTAATTTTGTTTACAGGGCGGCTATGCAGGAAACGCTGTGGGGTTTAAATTGTCGTCTCTCCTCTCACTGGCTGACACAAAAGCCAACAAACCTGGAATGAACCTGCTGCATTTTGTYGCCATGGTTTGTGAAACCTTATACCATACATTGCTTATCCTATTTTAATTTCAAGCAATCAAACAAATCAGAGGCTTCARCAATGATAAAGCTTCAACAGTTTCTGTTACAGAAGTGGGACAAGTGTCCAGATTTAGTTAAATGTAATAAGAACTAGAAAAATTAACATATTCTGCAAACACTCAGTGTGAAGACTGGAGCTGCTGGCATTTGTTGAAGAAACTGAAACTGATTTGGTAAATACAAAACGAGCAGGTTAAAATCTGAAACAATCTGATGACAGACCAGCAGAACAGCAGTACAAGCTAAAAATCTGCAACATCGTAATCTAAAAGCTAAAATTAGCAACACAAAATAGAGCAAATATGCGGAAGTAGATTTTAATAAGAACAATGGGCCTCATGCAAGAAC